AAGAAGAAGAAGAAGAAGATGTACACCAGCAAAGACCAATGATAATTCCCTTCTTCATTGCCAACCACTCTCCTCCCCCATATCTCCTCCCCTCTTATGCAAACAAGAAACTCCTCCTTATCTCCTCCCCTCTTATTCAAACAAGAAACTCCTCCTTATCTCCTCCCCTCTTATTCAAACAAGAAATAATAATAATAATAATGTTGAATGGCCGAACCAGAATCAATGTCTGAATCCCTCTTCTACTGCAGGTATCACATGAGGTCCACCATAGCCATGGCCACCCTTCTTCCTCCTTCCTCCAAGGCCGAGGCTATGGCGGACTACCAGGGCATTGCCCAGCTCTGCAAAGGACAACACAAAGCGGCTATGGCTGCTCTAGCTCAGGCCGCCATGCCTGACTCTGCCTCAAAGCTTCTTGGTGTAGCTCTACCCCAACTGGGGCCTTCCAGATGCAGCGCCCACCAAAGTGATGAAGATGGCATCCACCATAGTCATTTAAGTACGTCTGGCGCTCTCCCTCTTCCTGGTCCTCGTCTTCCTCCTCCTCCTGCCTGTGCTCCTCCATAGCCGCGGTGGAGAGCTGAGCGCTCTGTCCTCCGCAGCAGCGCTGCTCCATCCAGCGCTCCAAGCAGTGTGTTGCCAAACTTGCACGCTGAAGAATGAGGAGGAGCACTTTGCTCCTCCTGGAGATATAGCGTCCTGCTTGCCTCTTGGGCGGTGACTTCCTAGGACGCGCGGCCTCCAAGCAACCGGTACCTCCTCCCTTTCGGAGAGAAACATCATTGCAGACTTTTGCCCGCACAGGCCTTAGACTGGTTTGACTGGTACCCGCCTAGACCTAGCCTACAACTACTGGCCCTCTAAAACATGCCAACTTTTGTCTTCTTCTGCTCGGCCTCGAGTGCCCCCCACATCTACCTCTACTTGGTGTGGTACCGGCCTACCTGCTACTTTGAGTGTTTTCCGCTGCTCTTCGGGCCTCTTTCCCCCCCACTTGAATGTTTTCCCCGCTGCAACCCTCAATGTCACGGCCACAGGTAAGTCCCGGCCCTTCGGGCCTCTTCTGAACGAACAACTGCCCTTGTGGGTCACACACACTCAAGCCGACAAGCACTCACACAAGCATGCAGCCCACCAAGCACGCGCACACACAGACTTAGAAAACTCAGCAACAACCAGGAATCTCAGCAAGGCATACATTCCATAGGCAAAACTCAGAAATCAGCTCTCTCTCAGTCCTTGTTTGGCTGTGTCTCAGTCCTTGTTTGGCAGGTCTCTAACAATCCGGTAGGAAAAACAGGCCCAGCAGGCCAGATTGAATGCCCCCCCCCAAATTTTGTTTATTTTATTTTATTTTATTTTATTTTATTTTATTTTATTTCCCCGCCAGATGTTCAAACACCACTACCTTTCCCGGGCAACTCCGAGAATTGAAAATATAACATCCCGCCGATCCCCGGTTCTCCGGAGGCTTGGGGCTACCGAACCCCGACAGCTGGCAGCACCAGCCAAAAGAAAAGAAAATAAACACCACAGTGGCTCTTCGGCGAAGCTTGGCACACACGGAGAATCCGCCTCAGCAAAAAGAGGCTTGGGGGTAAATGGTTGTTTAACATCGGACGCCCGTGGGCCCTTCTTAGCCAATGGCATCCCCAAAAACTTTGGGGGCGATAAATCCTAAAGGTTTTCCACTGGCCCGCATTCAATTTTGCCAATTATCCTTCAGCAACTGCTGTCCTCACGCGCAATTACCACCACGCCCCTACCAAACAAACTCCATGCAATCCCATTTCTTACAAACACTACCGTAACTGCATTTGTCATTTGATACTGCGTAACAATCAGGTCGCCAAGGAGCAGATGAGTCGGTAGACAGCGTGAGCTAGATTAGGAATCTGCTTTGACTTCTTGTGCAGATTCATGATATCATTATATAGCATCCAAATCGAATCAATCACCTGCAGCGCTGCTCTGCTTCCACGTGTAGGTTGTTGTCGATACAGGACGTCACGTCACGTCACATCATCTCGGCAGTGGAACCTCAGCACAGTCAGCAGGTTGTAAAGGCCCATAGAAATCGGCGCCGGCGGGCAGGTCGATCCGTATACGGCGTATAGTAATATGTGGAAGGGAGTTCGAGGTCACGGTATGGCAGGGGACTTTATGTCATTTTGGGTAGATAATCGATTGTGTATTACTTACTTAATTGACATGTTGGTTATTGAGTTTTCCATTTATTCATGTCGAAAGAGAGACTCTGAGACATAAGAATCAAAACTCAAAAACTTGTTGAAACCACCCATTGCAAACAAAGCAAAAATCTAGCAAACACAATTTAAATTATTCAACGCATAACATAAAACCATATTGAAATGTGTTACACATGTTATTATGTTGCCAATTTGTGCTCCCATTATTTGAAAGTTGAAACCTGCACTCAAAAAAAAGAAGTTTTGTGCATATCTTGTTCATCAGACATTTTTTGCATGAATCACAGAACTTGCACTCAAAAAAAAAGTACATGCTTTGCAAAAGAGCATGGTTCATCAGATGAAATACAGTTGAATTTATTTTAATACACTCACAGACAAGAATTTAACTTTATCGCCAATGCGCCTGGCCTGGGAAAAGTTGGCAGGTACCGGGACATTTTGCAAAGATGGACAGTACCCGGTAGGGGCATTTTGCAAAGATGGACAGTACCCGGTAGGGGCATTTTGAAAAGATGGCGGGTCCAACCGACGCCAGGGGTATTTCACAGAACACTTTTTTTGTCAGAGGGGTATTCCGCTCTACCCACATCTCTTAGGGGCATTTTGGCATATAACTCCAGTTATAGGGTTATTTTGCAAATTATCCGTTTTTTTTTTGGTCTGGATTATTCATTTAAATAATTTATCCTGCGGGGATTCAATGGAAGAGGACGTGCAGGGAAAGGGTGACAAAGGAGAGACTCTGTGTTTTCAATCATGGCCATAGTAAGCACGAGTGCATGCGCTTACCATCACCCCTATCGGTTGACGCGGACGGAAAAACGAGCCTCAGGATGGGGGTGGGTGTAAGACCCGGACGGGTATAATTTTGTGGTTTTTTTTCGGCGAAAGAAGCTAGTAAATAAACAGTAGGGTGGGTGCACATTCAGACGGACCGGGTGGTATAGTGCTTTTTAACCCTGCCGCGATGAAGCCAGTACTAAGCAAGAGCTCAGGGTTGGTGTCAGATCCTCCCTTCTTTTTTTTTTTTTTTAAGAAATCCAGCTCGGACCGGGTGGTATAGTGTTTTTTAACCCTGCGATGAAGCCAGTACTAAGCAGGAGCTCAGGGTGGGTGTCAGATTCTCCCTTTTTTTTTTTTTTTTTTTTTAAGAAATCCAGCTCAAGTCTGGTAGAGGGGGTGGGGAGCAAATTTCTGCAAAGACGCTCCCACATTCGAACGAACATATGACATTCAATTTCCCGATCCTCGAGTATGTTTCTGCTCAGTGAACTCGCTGGAGTCGCTGTCGATCCTTGAGGAGTATGTTATGTTTCTCCTCAGTAAACTCGTTCTGCATCCACTACCAATTATATTATGATCCTCTTCATCTGCCTCTCCACGATCCATCTGAGCTCATCGTTTTTTTTTTTTTTTTTTTTTTTTTTTTTTGAGCTCATCGTCTCTTTCCATCAGCAGGAGGGAGGGGCTTCTCGCTTTGAAATCCGCTGCACCATGACAGGACGACCGAATATGGAAAAATCAATGAAAAACCAATGTCGCGTTACATCCGTATGAGCGCTTGGCTGCCTCAAGCCAGTTATGGGAGTTCAGCTTCCCCAGCTTCTAGCTTTGTATTGTCATATCAGTGACATCACAAGTCGCACCAAAACCCCACGTGACCAACAGTGAAGAAGAAACTCCCATGACAAGTCCACAGCTTCCTAAAATCTTCTGGGGGAAAAAAAAAAGGTGAGAATGATCATTATGATGCAGTCCCCCCGGCACACCCAACACCAAAAAAA